TTTTCCTGATCATCATTATCTCCTAGTTCATTAATGATGAGTTACCATGTGTTTCACTTCAAAGGAGGACTTTAAAAGAGAACTACTGTTCAGTAGAAACACTGGCACATGTGCTCCTGCAGAAAAAAATTGTGTTTTCCTTTCTAAAGATGAGAGCTAAGCAGACTGGTCTACTGAATCCTATAGTATTTTAGCAGTTGTCCCATTTGTAGGCTGATGTGCAAATTGGTTCACACTGCCAAATATGAAGATGTGCATTAGCCTTTTAAGGTTTCTGATCAAAACAAACACATGAGGGACATCAATCAGTACAGTGTGGTGTGATGCTCCCAGCCTTCTCTGAGGATACCTGTTTCTGTGAATAGAAGTGCAGGATATAATCCATTATATTGTAGAGACTGCACACTGTGTAGTGTATTTCACTACTGTTAGAAGTGTTGGAATACACTACATCAGTTAGCAGTTCACCAGGAACCTTGTAAGACTCAGCTATTGAGCAATTATTCTAAGGAACCATACTTACTAAGCAATTCTCTGTGAGACTCAGTAGTTATTGTTTAGTTAATAGTGAACAACACTAATCATTAGTTCATTATTACCTACTGTGTAGTTAACTAGTAGTCCTTGGTAGTTAAGAGTAGTTACTTAAGCGTTAATGCAGCACAACTCATTCGTTCCTGCTTAGTTCCTGATTAGTTAGTTATTAACTACGGAACAGTATTGTAAAGTATTACCTATACACGACTTGAAGGCAGCATAAGCCACTCTTTTGCTGTGTGTACCGGCACTCGAGCCGCTGTCCTGCTGTGTGTACCGGCGCATAAGCCACTGTTGTGCTGTGTGTACAGGTGTTACACCGAATTCTGTGACCGTCGACGGCGCTATGTCGCAGTTTCTGTTCACATGCACGAGCGTTTTACACAGACTGCGTAAGCTACGCGGACGCGCTTTCGTTTCTGGTTCTACTGCTTTTAGGAAGTCCAAAAGCGTGTAATTACATTTCATATTGTCTGTTAATCGCATATATATTCTTGGACACAAATGTTTCATTACACATTTTATACATCTGTAAACGTCATATGAGGAAAGAGAGCAAATAGCAAGCTTTTTTGCTTGAAAAGGTAAAACGCCAGGCACAATAAAACATTATGTTAAAAATGAACACACACACACACACACACACACACACACAATAAAAGCATTGAGTAACAGTCAGAATGATAAGTTTCATTTTGTCCATGAAGCAAGATACTTCCATAAATAGAGGTAAAGCTGTGAGAAGAATTCTCTCACCCCTCGCGCCTGTTCGTGCTAAACAGATAAGGTGTACCATTTGAGGCTACTCTTAATCGGGCTTAATTCACCTAGCATCCCTTCATCTTTTCAGCCAAAAAAAAGCCTTCATGACTGGAGTGGACAGATTGGCCTTGGCATAGGGTTCACCAAATGTGACAGCCACTGTCAGAATATGTGACTGCACTGAATTTCCGTAAAGTTCCGTAGTTCAACCTTCAAAGTCCAACCAAATCTTTTTCAGGTGACCTAGCATCCCTTCATCTTTTTAAAAAAAGCATTATTCGCTAGAATGTACAAAGACACACTGATAAGGGGGCCATCAGAATACTCAAATGCATCTCCACTAAAAATAGTGAGACACTAACTTAAAATACTTATTAACTTTTAAAGTCATATGGCATGAATCACACAGTGTCCATTATAAACAAGCCTAATAGACTGGGACCAAAATGTCATCATGCAAACATTAACAGTATTTACTTTGTTTAACAACCAAGAATAATAAACTTAAAGTAATTTACAAAAGTAATTAAAAATATAAATTGCATTGATCTTGTGTTATCTTTTTAAAACACTGTTTAGGGAGTGATCCCTTTGCTACACAGTAAAGGGTGCTTTGAAATAATATTGTCCTCATGCCTTATACATCAAAGCTTATTTGCACGTAAGGCAGCTGTAGGGCTTCTTTGTGTCAGGCTTTCCCACACACGTTATGTGGTACCACCGTGTACAATTGTCACACTGGATCTGTAATAAAGATCACATGTATATTTACAACATTATAGATGTTCAGAGTGAATGTTCATGTAAAATATAGTATGTGTCCTATGTGCTCTCAAAGATTTGTCCTAAATTTCTTACACAGATTAGGACCAGAACAAAGGATATTCTTAACAGAACTTTTTACCCAGACAGTAGTGCTGTCTTGTCCTTTCCTCTTTTTCGCATGTTTGCTTTTTTCATTGTCCACATTTTCTTTTCCACAGTAGTAGCTCTTTGGGATCATCTGATTAAAATACGGCATTAATTGCAGATTTTGATGTGTCATCATTAATAAGGCTTATGTCATCATATAAGATACAAAATTATGAAGCAACATACATTATATTAATAATGTATAATGATATAATATAATAATAATATAATAAAAGTATTAAGATACTGACATCTAGAGGAGCTTTTATGCCATCCCATTTGAAATCCATAGGCATTAATATGGAGTTTGCCCCTCTTTGCAGCTATAACAGCTTCCACTCTTCTAGGAAGCTTTCTACAAGATTTTGGAGTGTGTCTGTGGAATTTTTGCCCATTCATCCAGAGGACCTGGCTCACAATCTCTATTCTAGTTCATCCCAAAGGTGTTTGATGGGATTGATGTCAGGGCTCTCTGCCAGTCAAGTTCTTCCACACCAAACTCACCCAGAGATGCCTCTATGGACCTTTATGGACCACTGGGGCCCAAAGTTCCTACAAAGTTGGAAGCATACAATTGTCCACAATGTCTTGGTATGCTGAAGCATAAAGTTTTCCCTTCACAAGAGGCCAAGGCCAACCCCTGAAAAACAACCCCATAGCATTATTACCCCACCAAACTTTACAGTTGGCACAATGCAGGTAACAGTCTTCAGTCTATCAGACTGCCAGATACAGAAGCATGATTCGTCACTCCACAGAATACATTTCCCTTGCTCCAGAGTCCAGTTGTGGCATGCTTTATACCACTCCTTTCAGCGCTTGGAATTGTGCTTGGTGATGCAGGGCTTGCGTGCAGCTGCTCAGCCATGGAAACCCATGCCATGAAGCTCCCGGTGCAGTTTTGTTGCAATGGTTGCGTCCTATTACAGTATCATGCTCAAATACTTTTGGGATTTTATACACCTGTGGCAATGTATTTATGAACAGCTGAGGCTGAACTGGAAAAAGCCAGAGGCTCCCCTGCCAGAATTTTCTCAGCATACTAAGAAAAAAGAAGTGTAAATAACAGAATGGTCAATAACATACTAAGAAAAAGGTGCTGTCCACTCTTAAGTTGCTATCATAGAAAAACAGTTTATAGCCCCTAAAAAGGTCAGAACCCTGTTACAATAATTCATCTGTCCCAAATCATCCTAAAGAGTTCTATTTTGAATTTTTAGGACTGGGCCTTAAGGATTCTACTTTTAACTGAAGAACCATTTAGGCTTATTATTCTAAAACTGTTGCGCACCACTTTTAAGTCTGAAATGAATCAGGTTCAAAATTAACAATGCAATGGAAAAATATATGAAATGATATCTGTCCACTCCAGTCATGAAAGCTTTTTTTTTGCTGAAAAGATGAAGGGATGCTAGGTCACCTGAAAAGATTTGGTTGGACTTTAACTAGTCTATTTAACTATTTTTTTCAAGTGACTGAATATAATAATAATAATAACAATAATAATAATAATAATAATAAGAAGAAGAAGAATCTTTTAAGATTAAGAATAGCCTCAAATGGTACACCTTATCTGTTAAGCACGAACAGGCGCGAGGGGTGAGAGAATTCTTCTCACAGCTTTACCTCTATTTATGGAGGTATCTTGCTTCATGGACAAAATGAAACTTATCATTCTGACTGTTACTCAATGCTTTTATTGTATGTGTGTGTGTGTGTGTGTGTGTGTGTGTGTGTGTGTTCATTTTTAACATAATGTTTTATTGTGCCTGGCGTTTTACCTTTTCAAGAAAAAAAGCTTCCTATTGTCTGGCGTAGACATTGTCTGTCTTTCCTCATATGACGTTTACAGATGTATAAAATTTGTGATTTGTGTCCAAGAATATATATGTGATTAATAGACAATATGAAATGTAATTACACGCATTTCTCATCGTTGGACTTCCTAAAAGCAGCAGAACGAGAAACGAAAGCGCGTCGGCGTAGCTTACGCAGTCTGCGTAAAACGCTCGTGCATGTGAACAGAAACTGCAGAATAGCGCCCTCGAAGGTTACAGAACTCGACGGTCACAGAATTCGGTGTAACACCGACATTCGGGCCGCTGTACCGTACTTCCGGTATTAGTGTGACGGAACAAAGGGGGACGGCACAGCAACATCTTGGCTACAACCGGATGTCTTAACATGTTAACACCGGGATTCCCACGTGTTTTGATCCCAAAGGCCAGCCGTAGGAAACATGACGTGTAGAAAACTTCCAATTTCAACCACATATTGACCGTCAGGGAAAGACGTTTTCTTAACGCCTTTACAACTGAGCCCCCCCTTACGCAGATTGCGTACGTACCGTCACTACGGAAAGTGGGAATTGTCTGTTTTTTTTTAACTCCTCTCGAGTTTAACCGCTCATCTACTGTTAAGGCCAGGCTAATTAACGCATATGCTAATGCTAATGTATTTGCCCTGCCAATATCATGTTGTCGCGGTTTAACTAGTTTAGTATGGGTGACAGTTGTAGCATAGACATATTTAGATTGCCTTAAAAATTGAAAACATGGTTAAAAGTACTTACTAATATACAGGTAAATAAACAATTTATTATCTTATACATTTAATTTCCCGACTCGGGCCAGGTCTGACGTTGAGGTTGAGGGACCGTGGTCAATGTTTCGAGGGTTTACAGACCATTGTTGCAACTCACAATGACTAAGCACTGCCTTTCAAATCAGTCATTGGAATGTCCCTCCCATTAGTCCAACTACGTCGGGCGTTGTGTGGACTTCCTGGTCATGGAGGTACTGGTACATTTAACTCGGATGCAGGCGTGTTTTCTTACATTTCGTCTATCTGTCTCAACGTCTAGAGTTCTCAGCCGGAGCATGGCGGCTGATTCTGTCACCCGTTTCGATTTTCTGGTGGTAGGAGGTGGATCCGGGGGCTTAGCCGGTGCACGAAGGGCGGCAGAGCTTGGTGCCACTTCTGCCGTGATCGAAAGTCACAAACTTGGAGGTACCTGCGTGAGTAAAAAATAATCCTAGTTCCAGAAATGCTTGCTCAAACAGATGACCTCTCCATACACCACAGTTGATGTGGTGTATATCATAGAGTTTTTTTATGTATTCGAACGGTCATATGAATAGCGCGTCGCGAGGCTTCCAGATTCAACTCTTTATGTTAAATGTTTGGTGTGCCGTTCATGGGCGTGTTATAGTGTAAAAGATGTAGTCATGTGCATGTGCGTTCTTGTAACAGAGACCCAGGTCACACACGAGCCGTTACAATGCTGAAAAAACATGTAATTCCTGTACAACGTTTCAGTAGCGTTGATGGCACCGCCTAGTAATTGTAACATCTATTTTATCGGCTCTCTGATAAAACGACTTACAAATTAGACATTCGTATTGCTTCAATATTATGTATTGACATCCATGTAAATTACGCAATAAAGGTTTCTGTTTGTCTCCTGTTTCCGCCCAGTACTTATTTACTGTCTCCATTTCGGTATTTTTGAGCACGTTGTGTGAAAGACCCTGTAGGTTTATGTATTACGCGTATATCTGATATGTAGCTAGCGTACATAAATACCGTAGTTTTCATTGCGTGGGTCTTACTAAGACGGCGTTTTAGGGCCTGTTAATAAAAATAAAAATAGTAGACATCGAGAATAAAGTAGTTATATTTCGAGAAAAAAGTCGTACGGTATGATATTTCGAGAATAAAGTAATATTTCGAGAATAAAGTCGTAGAATTACGACAATAAAGTGGCATTAATACCGCAGTATTATGGCCAAATGGTTTGCAAAAGGAAGGCAGCACCTCCTCGTGTTAAAATGAGGGACGTTGAGGAGTTGGTTGAGTTATACTTTCATATCGATTTCATCCAGAAAGAAATACTCAGTCTCCCTGTCTCTCCTGGCACATCAGCACCAGACTGTAATTAGTATAAGAAATGGCTGAAAGATTTTAGATTAAAGAACCAGACGGACTCGGAGGTCTGTTTTGTTGAAGGAGAACTCGCAAGCAGTGGTCGTCTACACAGCTATGAGTGGCTACATCTTCGTGCCATTCAAAGAGAGCATGAAGTTTCACAGACAATGATAATCAAAATGATCGGTCCACAAAGAGACAGGAGTGTGTGGAACTCCGGCGTGCTCGGCGTCTTCGCCGTCGCCAGTAAAGCAACCAAGACTCCAACGCGTTATGGCAGCCCCCTACAGTTAGCCCACTTTATCCTCGAAATTTTACGACTTTTTTTCTCGAAATATTATGACTTTATTCTGTAAGTCTACTATTTTTACTTTTATTAACAGTGGTCCTAAAACGCCGTCGTAGTCTTACTCATGTAAGTTGCTGCAATATTTACTTTAGTTATTGTATTGTATTTTATAGTATTGTAAGTGTTATTAATTGTAATACCTATGAACTATAGTACACACCTGGTGTATACCGGAGGTGCTTAAAAGCATGATGCCAGAGAACTGGTTTCACAAACGCTAGAGGGAGCTCCCGAGCGAGTCCAAAATGAATGGGTTAAGATAGAGCATTTTAGCAAAATCATAGTTTATAAATGCTTAAACATTTTAACATTGCTGTTATATTTATAATATGTTATAAGAGCTTTTAAACTTTAGTTACAGGTGTTTAAAACAGCGCATGTATATCCATGACGTCTGTGAGTGCAAACAGCCAATGCGCTGACATGTTCGCCAAATGGCCAGGCTCCTCATAAACCGGCGCTGATGCTGCTGAATGGCACCTACCTCTTTGGGTCTCACTGCTCCACACTTATTTTTAATTCACTTAATTACAGTTCCACTGTGGCAGTCATGAGGTTAAGCAGAATTTCACTAACCTAGTCCAAGAGTACTAATTTTCTGTGCATCTTGCTGTTGTTGTCCTGGTCTAACACACCTGTTCCAACTAATCAGCTGCCTAGTTAAAGTGGATGTGTTGGAGCAGGACAACATTCAAATGTGCAGCCGAAAGGAACTCCAGGACCAAGTTTGGGAATTGCTTGTGTAGAGAATGACACGATTCATCTGTAGTTCATATTTTCTTCTGTAATCTAGCATTATATTTTTACAGCTATATCCTTATCACCACTAACTTGACACTGGACTCTAGAGCTGAGCTATTATTCAGCATAGTATAGTGAAAATATATAAAAACATTTTGTTACGCAGCTGTTGGGCTATTTATAAGGATAAGACTTCTTGTACTACTGGTCTGTACTATTATGATCGTTTGTAAATGTAAGTAAATGCAGTCTGTAAATTGGATTTTGATACGTTGTAGCATACCAAGTAAGCCATATCACTCGAATGATGCTTTTTCACCAGTGTTCACTGTTTGTGTTTTCAGCAATGCAATATTATGCTCGAACATAACACTTTCAGTCCATCATCAGACACAATTGTACACTTAAAAAAGATGGTTCTTTATGGGTTCTTTAGCAAATAGTTCTATATAAAACCATGAACACTCAAAGAACCCTTTGAATCATTCAGGGTTCTTTGCATTATGAAAGAGTTCTTCATAATGAAAGAGAATATGCTGAAGATGGTGCTATATAGAACCTTTTTGAAAAGGGTTCTATATAGTGCCAAAAAGGTAGAACTATATACAGCACATTCTCCATCAATCTGAAGAACCCTGTACAATGCAAAGAACCGTTTAATGATGTAAAGGGTTTTTTGAGCGTTCATGGTTCTGCATAGAACCATTTTCTTTGCTTCTTTTTTAAGTGTGTAGGCCTGAATGCAGATTTTAAAATTATGCAAGGATTACGGAGGACCAGATTACCAAAGAAACAATTGTTTTGATGAAATTTTAGCCTTTTTTGATGATTATTAATGCTGACCTGACAATGACACACATTTCACACATATTTTGCCTTCTGTTACAGGTAAATGTTGGTTGTGTTCCTAAAAAGGTAATTTTGCTTTTATATTCAGATGTAAAAAAAAAAATGGTATTTGATCTGTCTTGTTTTCTTTTTGCTTGAATATGATGGAGCATCTAGTGATCAAAATATATGTGAGTAATGAGTAATGTTGTAGCATCTGGGTATGCAGGGTGTACTGGCTTTCATTCAAGACCTGCATTTTAGGGACGTGGGAATCACCTCTGTCTCTTTTGTTATTAATGCATAACTGCCTCTGCTTCTCATGAATCCATACTTGACCAACTGACTTTTTGTAAACATTGGCAAATCTTGCCTCCCTTAGTTGCTGTTACTGCAGGCTTATGCCAAAGTTTGGATGTCCCTGGTCAAATTATATGTTTGTTTATATTGTTGGTGAAAATAAGTACACATCTTCTTCAAAGAATACACTTCTGAACATTTTAATGGACACTTTATTTAATACATTTAACATAAATTAATTTTACATAAAACAAAATGTGGCCAGTGCAAAATGTGTGGTACATTTTATTCAATTTTTATTTTTTTCAATATGTTAAACCCAGCAAATAAATAGACACAATGCAATAAAAGTAGCAGAAAAATGCCATATGCAAGTTTGTTCTTTGTAGGCTGTGTTGACTTATTTTCATTTGGAAAATCAACAAAACATGTAATTTGACCAGGGGTGATCAAACTTTTGCATAGTTTGTTATTGGGCTACTGTGCAGGTTTGTACTTTTTACTGATGTGTAGTTGTTGAGGTTGGTTTCAAAACCGCACTGTGATAAGTACAATGAGGCTGTGTAAGGCTATAGCCAACACTTGTGGATGTGGTCGCAAAAAACATTTTACCTAAGATCGGGGATTGTTTGAATGGTGGAGAGGGAATCAATGAAAACTTGGACAATCCTTCAAGCTCAAGGTGCAACACTGGTTGTTGTCTGAATGAAAATGGACTCGATGGAAGAAAACCCAAGAATATCCTACTTATAAAAGAGAAAAAAGCCTCTGGTTAGATGAAACAAAATGTTTTGTAAGTTTTTTTTAGTAAATCACACTAAGTCATAGGTCTGTGCTCACAGGAAAGCTTTCAAAGAAAAGAACACTAACCGTAAAGTGAAACTTGAAGGAGACTCATTAATGTATTGTGTTTGTTTTGCTGCCGTTTGCTCTGGGTGCCTTGTATCTGTGCAGGGCACAAGGCACAATGAAATCTGAAGACTATCAAGGCATTTTGAAGCAAAATCAGAAAGCTGTATCTAAGTCACAGATCATGCGTCAGTATGTGATCAGCAGGATACGATCCAAAACACAGCAAAAGCACCCAGGAATGAATGAGAGAAAAACATTGAAACATTCTGAAGTGGCCTGCTAAGAGTCCTAATCTGAGTAACATTGAACATCTGTACAAAGAACTGAAACTCACAGTTGAAAGAAGGTACTTATCAAACCTGAGAAAACTGGAGCATTTTGCTTAAGAAAAGCCAGCCAAACTGGCAGTTGAGAATTGTAGAAATCTCTTTCAGTGCTACAGAAAGAGCTTGATTGTGGGTCTTGTCCCCTAAGGTTGTGCTGTGTCACTGGGGTAACGAATCCATTAAAAATGTCCTTTCATTTGTTTGGTCGCAGGTTATGTGGAATGCATCAACCCATGCTGAATGTCTTAATGATCATGCAGACTATGGCTTTGAGGGAGCACAAGCCCACTTTAGTTGGCAGTAAGTAAAATCATGTATTCATTTAAGAGTTTGGTTGTTAGGGAAATCTAAACAACTTGAATCTGTGATCACCATAGGGCCAAGCAAACTGTCTGTACACACCTTCAAATTTTAACTCAAACTGACTCAGAGTAGTACAGAGAATTTTTGCCAAAATTACTGACTCAGATGACACAAATATTTTTGTTTTCAGACTGATTAAAAACAAAAGGGATGCTTATGTTAGCCACCTGAATGAGATTTACCAGAAAAATCTTGACAAGGTAGGCATTTTGTAATCTGTAAATATGAAAATAGCTCGCAATTAATTTTACATGCGTGTCTATGTTGAAGGCCATATATATTTCCTATCTTGTCTGTAAACGTGTATATGCCATGGCTTCAGTGAATATTCAGATGTAATTGCAAATGATAAATAATGGACACAGTCACTTATATTGATGGTAATGTATGATACTTATTACTTACTGCACACAGGCTAGAATTCAGACCATTCAAGGCCATGCACAATTTACTGATGACCCGGAGCCTACTGTTGAAGTCAATGGGAAGAAATACTCAGCACCACACATCCTTATTGCCACTGGTGGACACCCGTCTACAGTTAGTGACAAGGATGTGCCAGGTGAGCTGAGATCTGTCTTCAGTTTATATAAATCATACAAGGCAAGCTTAGTTATGCAACACTTTTCATACACTGTGGTCATTCAAAGTGCTTTATGAGTGAGAAAATACACAGATAAAAAATGAAAAGAATAGAAATGAAAAACATTATTAAAACATGATTATAAACACTATATTCAAAAGAGAAAAAATTAAACATTACATTAAAAATCAACTAAAAATGATTTTAAGATAATAAAGGGCTGTTACAAGATAGAAAGTGGAACTGCAATTTTAAACTGAGCTAAAAGTCTGCTCAAATAGGAATGTTTTCAGCGTGGAATTATGTGTCTAGTGTCTGGGCTCTTCTAATGCTGTCTGTCAACTGGTTCCCTTTAGAGCAGCACAGTAGCTAAACCCTACTTCTCCATGTTAAGTCTTTACCATAGGCAGAACTAGCTGACTAGTTCCTAGTGATCTGAGAGTTCTGCTCGATTCATATAGCTTAGCTTATCAGATGAGTACACCTGTCCTTACACCATCAAGTGCTTTATAGACCAGTAATGGTACCTAAAAGTTTATTCTTTAACATGCTGCTAAGCAATGTAAAGATTTAAGAATGTGAGTGATGTATTCCTTTTTTATACTTCTAGTGAGAAGTCTGGTAGCCTTTCAAAGCTGTTTAATTGTATTTTTTTCCCCATTTTTTCTCCAGACCATTACAGTAATCAGTTCTGCTAGAAGTAAAGGCGTGGATGAGTATCTCCAAGTCTGGTTTAGTCAGAAAATCTCTGATCTTGTTGATGTTCTTAAGTTTGCAAAATCAGCATTTTGTCACTGTTCTGACATGACTGCCCAAACTGAAATCAGAGTTCATTAGTACACCCAGGTTATGGACTGGTTCTTTAGTTTTTAGGGCTCTCAAATTCAGATAGGTAGCTTGTCTTTGATTCTCATTGCCATTTCTGATTAAAATAGTCTCTGTTTTATCTTTATTCAACTGCAGAATATTTTGTCCCATTCAGTAAGTGATGTGCTCAAGGCACTTACAAAGTGAGTCAAAGGGACCAAAGTTCTTTTTCAGAGAGAGCCAAGTAAATCTGAGTGTCTTCTGCATAGCTGTGGTAAGATATCTCATAGTCTTGTAAGATCTGGCCAAAGGGAAGCATGTGTACATTAAATAAGAGTGGCTCAAAAATGAAACCTTGGAGGACACCACAGGTCACTGCTTTCAGAAACATTATTTTCAATTTCAACAAAATAGTTCCATTTTAGCACAGTTCCTGAGAGTCCAACCCAGTTCCCAAGTCTGTCTAAAAGAAATTTATGGTCAGTGGTTTCAAAGGCAGCACTGAGATTGAACGGACGTAGAGCATATATTTTTCCAGAGTCTAAATTTAAATAAATGTCTTAAATGACCTTAATAAGAACATTCTCAGTGATTAGACCAGAATTCTGATTGAAGTTTGTCTAGACAGCTTTTTAAGGACAGAAAGCCAGTAAGTTGCTTAAAGATTTTCTCAACAATTGTCTGTAGTTACTGTAGAGTTGTTTGTCAATTTTTCTTTTTTAAGAAAGGCTTCACAACTGCAGTTTTTAATGTCTTAGGAAAAAGCACAACATGAATGAGGTGTTTACTATCTGAAGTATGTCCACTGATAGTGAGTGAAACACATTCTTTAAAAGTTGGTTGGTAATGTGTCAAGACTGTAAGTGGATGATTTGAGATGATTTATTGTATTGATTAAAATTTCATAATAAATATCACTAAACTGGGATATTTTAACCATGAAATGTTTATGTGGTGATGAAGAGGACACAAGCTCATTGGTGGATATAGATATGCTAATGTCTTGTCTGTTATGGGTTTTAGTGTTTAAAAAGTATGCAAACTCATTACATCTTTCAGACACTAATATTGTGAAGGGTATTTTGCTATTGTTAATGTTATTGTTGCTAATAATGATAAACATTTTTGTTTTGTAATCACACAGCCTATCTTTGGAGATTACGAATTTAATTAAGTTTCGCCTTACGTCATCTGCATTTGGTCTTCCTACGTTCTCTCTTTCGGAATTGAACTGCAGTAGCATTCCACCATGGTTCTTTCTGTTGGCATGGCATGGTTTTAACCTTAACTGCTGCAATCTCATCCATAATACTAGCAGTTTTTAAGTTGAAGCTATTCAGCAAAGCATCAGCAGAATCATAATGGCAGCAATGTTAACTTTAGCATTAGCAGGATGGGCTGTGCTAGCAGGGGTGGAAGATGAGTCTACAGAGCTATACATAGGACAGCTTTTGGGTTTAGCTCCAATGTGGATCCATTGCTCGTTTTCTGTCAGTTGTACTCACATTCGCAGTGCAGGATAGACTCTGATACCAGCTCTGAAAACTTGTTTCCAAAATTATCATTTTTTGTAGAAGCCTGTAACAATTCTAACAGCAACTGTGTTCTAAAAACCTGAAGAGGCATTTTGTAAGTGTTTTCTTTGTTAGCCAACAGGAACATTTCTAATTCCTCTATCTATAGCACTGCTGTAAAAAGTACAACAATCAAGAAAAAACTATAGTAATATTTCATTTTTGAAGTATTTTTAGTAATAAAACATGTAAGGTAAATTATATGTTTATACAATTTTTAATAATGTTAATTGTATACTGTTCTGTCTGTTTGGCCTTTTAGCTCACCATAGCCATTACATTTTGGGTGCCTGAGAAACCTCTGGTCAAGGGAGTTGAGGTGTAACATAACGTGGAAATGTCTTGTGTGAACAGGCAGGTTTTAGGATTTAGATAGATAGATAGAACGATAGATACTTTATTGATCCCGAAGGAAATTTAACAGCGTATTTAGTTATACAAGCTGTACAAAATGAATTGTTTCTTACTTATAGGGTCAACAAATCAGTGACTGTGCCAAAGGAAGGACATAACCATAACAAAACATTGTCTAAGCTAGTCTATACTGTGCTGTTCTATATTGTGCTATTCTATACTTCTATACTTTGACTACTACGACCATTAAACCAAAAACCTGACTGGTCTACAGTGGCCTAAATTTACGAAAGCCCGCCTTCTATATTTGTCCTATGCGAGGAGGTGCAAAATTTTCATCTAATTTTTATGTTCCAAAAAGCTTATTTTATTTTATTATTATTTTTTGAAGAAGATAATTGAGTTATTATTTCTATTATGCCACACATTTGCATTCAGTATACACATGCTTTGTTACCTCCACATAAAGTTCAGTTGTTGATGGAATAAAATTGAAACATTTCATTGCAATTTATTTGTGCCTCATTGAAAAAAAAATTCCTTGGATCAGCATAAACATTTTTAATTATTCAAAATGTACTCTCATTTATTTTGTCCATTTTATGAAAATCAATTACCTAAAGACAACACAATTAATTTATTTAAGGTCAACATATTTTCAGTTTGTAAGTCAAACAGTCCCATTGGTTCAATAATTTTTATTTTTGAGTATAAAGTGAGGTTGGAAAATTATCACAATTATGATCACCAGAATTATGACTGTTTTTCCTATATAAAAGTGGTACACAGGTCCTAGACCACAATAAAAAGAAGACAGAAGTGGTCATCTATTTTCTCAGAGTAAATAGCAAAATCAAGGAGAGAAGGTGGGCCTGTTTCAACACTAATGTGCTGACAATCAGTGACTCTTTTGGTTGCAACATAACCAGAATTTGCAGTCGCAATCTCCTGATGAGAGGGCAAAATCTCAGAAGGCTGTAATACTGAGAAGCCCAATAAAAGGCACCAGTGGGGAAAAGTGACTGTACATCACTTCTAGCTTGCTGGAGTGACTACACTTCTGTTCAATGCTACAGTCATGTGAAGAAGTAAATACACCCTGTGACTTTTTCAACATGTTTGCACATCCAGTCTTTGTTTCAACAGTGCTGATAGATAAAAGTGATTATAATTTAAGAAAGGACACCTAAACATTTTTGCCATCCTTTATATTATTGAAATAAACAGAAATGCAGCTTATGTAAAGAGTAAAATTCTTGTGTGGAAAAAGTAAGTATACTCCTATATATGTAATTTTTTCAAATGTGTCAATTTGCAGTTGCACCTGATCAAGTGTTGTTAATTAGAGCACCATTAGAAAATATCTTGTCTTATTTATACTTCAGATATCTGATCTGTTGTTATTGGTGTTCAGGTTGTCATCGTGCCTAGATCAAAAGAGCTCTCTGTAAAGTAATCAGTCTCATTAAAATGCTGTAGGCGAATTTGAGAGGTTTTAAAACATGCACATGAAACAAGCCCCTCAAACATTGCACAGTTGAGATAATTCTGCATGAAGGAGTGGGCAAAAATTTCCCAGTAGATATCAAAAACTGGTAGACAGTTATAGAAAACACCTACACACCAGGGGTATACCTACCTTTTTAACAGAAAAAAATGACATCTAAGTAAATTGATTTGTAAATAAATGATTGCAAAGTCAAAGTAAAAGTGTTTGCTCTGTTACATAACATTTATATTGTTCAGTCAATGATCAAATAGTGATATGCCCACATACAGTGCCCTCCACAAATATTGGTACCCCTGGTAAGCATGAGCAAAACAGGCTATAAAAAACATTCTTTACAGCTTATCCTTTTGATGTTTTATTTAAAAAATTAACAAAAATCTCACCTTTATTTGAAGTACAATGATAGGAAATAAATGTTTTTCTCAAATTTATGTGCGCCACAATTGTTGGCAGCCCTATATTTAATACTTTATATAGCCTTCCTTTACAAAGATAACAGCTCTGAGCCTTCTCCTTTAATGCTTAATAAGACTAGAGAACACATAGCAAAGGATCTGAGACCATTGCTTCATACAGAACCTCTCCAGATCCTTCAGATTCTGAGGTCCATACTGTGGAGTCTCCTCATCAGTTCATCCCACTGGTTTTTTGTGGGTTTAGGTCAGGGAACTGGGGTGGCCATGGCAAAACCTTAATTTTGTAGTCAGTGAGCCAAGTAGGTTTTTAACCTTTTT